ATAAATCCGCATAGGATCGGAGGATTATACGGATAGCTAGGATTTTAAGGCTACGGATCGCTACTCTAATTAAAACTATGGTATTTGACATGCACCGATTATGAAAGGATCTCTACTTAAAACTTATAATTATGAACATATAATTGTATGGATACCATTTGATAGGCTATTAAAAAATTAATAGGAATTGACAACAACAGTACAACAGGGTGCCAGTGGCACTTTCACATTCGCCCGCATAATGGTAGATATTTTTGAAAATAAAAATTGTTGGTTTATTGAAAACAAAATTATTGATTAATAAATTTATCATAAACTAGAAAAGTTTGTAGCATTTGCTTAATATTACCTCTCATTATTATTTATTCGCTTATAATTACTAAATTCAAAAAAAAAAAAAAAATTGACCGAAAAAATTCTTCAAATAATATTAGAAATTCGGTTAAAATTTATAGACATGAACGAACAATACCTCGCCAAAATATAATTATTGTGAAGAAGACTGTGCAGATTTAGTTGATCAATCAAAAGGCCATCTATTAAAATGTAAAAAACTTTAAATATAAAGATTTATTAAAAACTCAAAAAACAGGATTCTGGTTTACAAATAGTTCATTCGCAAAAACTTATTCAATGGAGTTTACATAGTGGTAATATCGTGAAGCTTGAACTTTCAATAGTAACAAAAGATTGCATTTACCGATAAGCGGGATTTTACATTTAAAAATAATAGCGATCGGCCACTTTGATAAAAATTAAAGCGCCAAATATTTTAATTTTCTACGTAATATCTAATAAATTCAAAATTATATAGCACCATCTTTTAAAAAAAATTCTTAAAATTAATTAATAAGAAGCAATATTTTTCAGTTTCTGCAAAATTTTATCTCAGACTTCGATGTTTTAAAAAAGGGTTAAAAATGTTTTTTACCCCTACATAAATGTAGTAAATGAGCAAATAAGGCCAGACCAATTTAATTCTCTGTTTTACATTTCCCTCCGAAAGAGGGGGAGGGGGAGAATTTGTGGTTTACATAGTAAAATTTTTCCGAATTGTTCCGTTACTGTATAAAAATTCCGAAATATCCCGTAGCCCTATGTATATTTATCCAATTTTTTTACTATGAGCGAGAGGGGAGCGCTGAGGAGGGGGGAGGGTTAATGTAAAACAGAGAATTAAATTGGTCTGGCCTAATCATAATCATTAATTTGACAAAATCTAACGCTAAAGCTATGAATCGTTAAATAATGTGATACAATGATTTTCATTAACAGTTAAATTCCAATTAATATTTACGCCTTATGCTATTCAAATATATCTGCTGCAATTTCAACCACTCATAATAAGCTTAAATGAAAATTGATGTATGTACGTACGGTGTAGGAAATTTAAAAGCCTCAATATTCTATATAGAGATGATGCATAAACTAGTGGCGCATCGTAAATAAATTTCCTAAATTATCGATCTCAATAAGCGAAGGAAATCTCTTTTTATAAAGACAATAAGCAAAAAACAATACATATGCAAATAGCACTTTTGAGAATGACAAATTTAGTTTATCTTCAATGAGTTAGTTAGCCTTTAATCTTTATAAAGTGCTTGAAGTTTTTAGGTTTACTGCACCGTACGTACGTATGTACACAATCAGCAATGCGGCATCCACTTATTTGCGCGGATAATACAAACCTCTAAAAAGGAAATGGCCAATCAGAAAACATAAATTTCGGGTATTACTGATTAGCCCGACATAGAATCCGACACGTGCGAAAGAAGAAAAAAGAAAAGAAAGCAAAATACTCAAAACCTAGTGTTTAAATCGACCTTTGTGGACTAATAAAAAATAATGGGGATGAAATTTTACTCCAATTTATCGCTAAAGCTCACAACCCTAACGTCCTAATCCTAAACTGCACTTAGTTTATTTGAAAATTTTGATTACTTTTTTGGTTCGTGTTACCCGCGCAAATAAGTAAATCGCATAAGCGCGTATAACCTATAAATGTGACACGAAACATCATTATTTATGTGACAAACTATTGTGGGAAAAGTCTGGTAAATAGTTGTGGTCAACAGAATTGTAAACCCGATTTTTTAATTTAAAGTTGGTACAATAATTAAATCTGATCTTTCACTTAATGTACAAGGACAAATAACTCAAAATGATTATTCAAAAATTTTTGAAGTCCTTAGTATCAGAGATTATCTCCTTTTTTTTCGTCATAATCTTCACTACCTATGTTTTTAACTTTTATTATAAACACTTAACTCGTCCTAATCCACTCCCTGGTCCGTTGCCCTTACCATTCATTGGAAATATTCATAATTTTGCTTATGATATAATACAGTTCTGTGATAAATGTCGATTAAAATATGGAGATATCTGTGAAGTAATGTTTAATGGAAATAGATGTATTATTCTCTCACGACCGGAATATATTGAAAAACTTATGTCTTCAACATATTTAAGGAGACTTCCATATTCGCAAGGTCTAGATGAAATCGGATTTTACGGATTTGGGGTTCTTGGCAATGAAATTTATGAAAGTTGGAAATATAATAAACAGTTCTTTACTCAGGCATTATTGGCACCTAAATTTATGGATAGTGCTGTAAAGTCTACAAATAAATTATTTGAAGAACTAAGCGGGTATTGGCATTCTCTTGGAAAGCAAAATGTTTCAAATAATAATAATAACGATAATTGGACCCTAGAAACCGATTTTTCTGCATGGCTTCATGCATTTGCAAATGATATTATTTCAATAATAATCACCGGTGAACGTACGTATTCAATTGCTTCCTACTATAATATGCAAAGTACTGTAAAGTCTGAGCATCCTGATGCGCTGGTCAAAGATGGAAATAAATTCGTCGAAGCATTAATAAAACATATGAAAGGCCTTACATTCTTCACGTTGGTTAGCCCATTCTTGAGGCATTATGCTCCAATTTTCAAAAACAAGGCAAATTCTTACTTAAAAAACCGTGATTATATAAATGAAAAATTGTATCTCATTATTAAAAAGAGAAGAAAAGAGATTGAAGAAATGCCAGTGGATACAGAGATGAGAGCTGATATGCTAACTTCCCTAATCATTGCAAGCACTAAAAAAGATACTACTAATGTGAAAACAATAGATGGTGAGAAGTTCGAGTCTATGACCGATGAAGATATCAGAGGTAATTTGTCAGATGCATTCGTAGGTGGAACAGATAGTGTAAGCAATATTTTCATTATCCATTTATTTACTTATTATTTGCTTATTATTTACTTATTATTTACTTATTAATTGTTTATTTTATTACAATCTATTTTGCTAATATTTAGACTGCCAACACATTTTGTTATATAATCTATTATCTTTGTAAATATCCGAATGTAAAACAAAAAATGATTTCAGAAATTGATTCTGTCTTCTCAAATTCTCCTAATAAATCTTATTTAACAAGTAATGATCTCTTAAAGCTAAAATATTGTGAAGCCATAATCAAAGAAGCTAGTCGTATGATGCCGATATTTAATTTCATAACTCGTTATGTGACTGAAGAATGTGAAGTTGCAGGATACAAATGGCCTGCTGGTACAACGTTTCATATAAATTCTAGAGGAGTACATGGTAACCCTGAAGTTTGGTCTAATCCTGAAGTTTTCAATCCAGATAGATTTTATAATGTTGATCAAGATGATGATAAAGGATTAGAAAATAAAAGTTCTTTGATAATTTTCGGTGGAGGTCCACGTATCTGCCCCGGAAGGAAACTGGCGATGGCAGAGCTACTTTTATTGATTGCATCAGTTTACAGATATTATCATGTTGAGTTAGTTAATATGCACGAGCCATTGAGAATTGTTGCCGCAACGACTAATAATGTTCAAGAGTTGAAAGTTAAAATTAGTCCGCGAATTATTTAAGGTAATTTTATTAATTTTTTTTTTTTTAATTTACGAAATCGAATTCTTATTCTATCCAAACAAACTCCATGTAACGTGATGAATTTTATACCTACGTACGTAGTACGTACATCAACCCGAATAAAAGCACATCAATTGTAACTTATTAGGAAAATTAAATTAATTTATACAGAACGATTTAAGAATCATAAAAATTCTAATGATAAGGTTCGTGCTCAAGATACGACAGATATGAGTAATTATAGCATCTGATTGCGCCATCGGTCATACCCGATGAAGGTGATGATTATCTGATAAGCCTCATTCAAGGCCCGGGTTTGTAAGAAAGACAAACTCTAGAGCGAATTTACCAAGCGAAAAAAAGTTCAGAACTAGACCCTTTTTTATAATGCAAAGATTAATTAAATAAAATAGAAGATCGATTAGAGCAGGGTTAATATAAATGCTGCATAAATTACGTTCTTAATATCCATCTGTTAAAACCATCATATCCGTATCAAAAAGGTATCATTAACTTTATTAAATTTAAATCCGCTTTAATCTCACCGAAATAAGGAAAAAATAATCATTAATCCATATGACATACTATGCAACTAAAAAAATTTATAAATACAACCCGAATACGATAAAAATTTTGGGCATCTTTGCAGAAACCTTTGATTTTGCTAAATATGTTTACAATATTGCTACAATATTACTATCCCTTAGTCCGTATTCGGGGCAAATTTGCCCCGAATTTCTGGTTCCCGGCAAATTGTTCACACTAACATTAAAATTTACTAAAAGTACCCTATTGTTTGTGGCACAGTGCACGCACACGTGACTGCAACACCTATATTGATGTATCTTTGCCGCAAACAAAAACAATAAGGTTCAACAAACTTCTGAAGATGTTCTTTGAATATAAATATCGACACTTTTAATTCTCTACATTTTTTTAAAAAAAAACAGCTTACACTATGACTGATAGTGATAGTGTTGCTGATAATGATGATGAGTATGATGCTGCTGATGATAACTCTTCCCCTGATTTGCAATATTTTGCCTTTAAACATAATAATCATGGAGAGATAAGAATTAAAACCATGATAAATTATGAAGATCTATTTATGATGGAGGAACAAGATTATATCACTGATTATGCTATGGATTCTGAATATGAAAAAAGTGCAAAAAGCACTTACAAGCAAAATGAAAAAAGTAGAGTAAGTGGAAAGGGAAAAAATGAGTGGAGAAACGAATAAAGAAAAGAGAATTGCATATATTATTAACAATTTTAATCTACCTATAAATTGATTTTCTCCAGGAAATCATCTAATAGAATGGTGAAAAAAAGGGAATCATGTTATATTGTCATTATTTAATGAAAAATAATAATTAAGGTAAAAAAAAAATTGGGCAATTTTCCAGACTCAACTCTGGTATATTAGATGTAATGTATCTCTTTGTTCTTCTAATATGCAATCTGATTGTTTTAAAGATTTTCATAGCAAAAATGAATAAATTTATTTAATATTTGTTTTTTATTAGTTTTACTAATTTTGGAATCGATTTATAAGATATTAATTATAATAAATTATGTAAAATTGATTATATAAAATTAGGGAGCAAATTTGCCCCAAATTTACATATAAACTAAGAGATAATATAATTGCAATATTACTAAAATTATTATATGATAAATATATGTTAAATATATATTAAAATTATTATTATTATATTTTAAAAATATTATTTTGTTCTAGTAAATTACTTTTTTTTTTTTTTTTTAACAATCATGTCACAACTTTATTTTATACTATAGAATTTACATTTATAATAAATGTGGAATCTATTTATAGCTATGCTATT